GCTGAACCAGTGAAGAGAGCAGTTACAACAACAAAACGTTATATACGTGGCGATGGGCAAGCAGGAAGGGTCTGAGTGTAAAGGAATCCCATCCCCGCTACAACAACAAGACATTATATACGTGGCGATGGGCAAGCAGGCAGGGTCTGAGTGTAAAGGAATTCCATCCCCGCTACAACAACAAGACGTTATATACGTGGCGATGGGCAAGCAGGCGGGTCTGAGTGTATAGGAATTCCATCCCCGCTACAACAAGTCGTTATATACGTGGCGATGGGCAAGCAGGTGGGGTCTGAGTGTAAAGGAATGTCATCCCCGTTACAACAAGACGTTATATACGTGGCGATGGGCAAGCAGGCAGGTCTGAGTGTAAAGGAATCCCATCCCCGCTAGAACAAGACGTTATATACGTGGCGATAGGCAAGCAGTCAGGGTCTGAGGTAAAGGAATCCCATTCCCGCTACAACAAGACGTTATATACGTGGTGATGGGCAAGCAGGCAGGGTCTGAGTGTAAAGAAATCCCATCCCCGCTACAACAACAAGTCGTTATATACGTGGCGATGGGCAAGCAGGCAGGGTCTGAGCTGGAAAGAATCCCATCCCCGTTACAACAAGATGTTATATACGTGGCGATGGGCAAGCAGGCAGGGTCTGAGTGTAAAGGAATTCCATCCTCGCTACAACAACAAGACGTTATATACGTGGCAATGGGCAAGCAGGCAGGTCTGAGTGTAAAGGAATCCCATCCCCGCTACAACAACAAGACGTTATATACGTGGCGATGGGCAAGCAGGCAGGTCTGAGTGTAAAGGAATCCCATCCCCGCTACAACAACAAGTCGTTATATACGTGGCGATGGGCAAGCAGGCAGGTCTGCAGTGTAAAGGAATCCCATCCCCGCTACAACAACAAGGACGTTATATACGTGGCAATGGGCAAGCAGGCAGGTCTGAGTGTAAAGGAATCCCATCCCCGCTACAACAACAAGTCGTTATATACGTGGCGATGGGCAAGCAGGCAGGGTCTGAGTGTAAAGGAATCCCATCCCCGCTACAACAACAAGTCGTTATATACGTGGCGATGGGCAAGCAGGCAGGTCTGAGTGTAAAGGAATCCCATCCCCGCTACAACAACAAGGACGTTATATACGTGGCAATGGGCAAGCAGGCAGGTCTGAGTGTAAAGGAATCCCATCCCCGCTACAACAACAAGACGTTATATACGTGGCGATGGGCAAGCAGGCAGGGTCTGAGTGTAAAGGAATCCCATCCCCGCTACAACAACAAGTCGTTATATACGTGGCGATGGGCAAGCAGGCAGGTCTGAGTGTAAAGGAATCCCATCACTGCTACAACAAGGACGTTATATACGTGGCGATGGGCAAGCAGGTGGGTCTGAGTGTAAAGGAATCCCATCCCCGCTACAACAAGGATGCTATATCTGTGGCGATGGGCAAGCAGGCAGGTCTGAGTGTAAAGGAATCCCATCCCCGCTTCAACAAGGACGTTATTACGTGGCGATGGGCAAGCAGGCCGGGTCTGAGTGTAAAGGAATCCCATCCCCGCTACAACAACAAGGACGTTATATACGTGGCAATGGGCAAGCAGGCAGGTCTGAGTGTAAAGGAATCCCATCCCCGCTACAACAACAAGTCGTTATATACGTGGCGATGGGCAAGCAGGCAGGTCTGAGTGTAAAGGAATCCCATCCCCACTACAACAACAAGACGTTATGTACGTGGCGATGGGCAAGCAGGCAGGTCTGAGTGTAAAGGAATCCCATCCCCGCTACAACAACAAGACGTTATGTACGTGGCGATGGGCAAGCAGGCAGGGTCTGAGTGTAAAGGAATCCCACCCCCGCTACAACAACAAGACGTTATATACATGGCGATGGGCAAGCAGGCAGGTCTGAGTGTAAAGGAATCCCATCCCCGCTACAACAAGGACGCTATATACGTGGCGATGGGCAAGCAGGCAGGGTCTGAGTGTAAAGGAATCCCATCACTGCTACAACAAGACGTTATATACGTGGCGATGGGCAAGCAGGCGGGTTTGAGTGTAAAGGAATCCCATCCTCACTACAACAAGACGTTATATACGTGACAATGGGCAAGCAGGTGGGTCTGAGCTTGAAAGGAATACCATCCCCGCTACAACAACAAGGACGTTATATACGTGGCGTTGGGCAAGCAGGCCGGGTCTGAGTGTAAAGGAATCCCATCCCCACTACAACAAGACGTTATATACGTGGCGATGGGCAAGCAGGCGGGTCTGAGTGTAAAGGAATCCCATCCCCGCTTCAACAAGGACGTTATATACGTGGCGATGGGCAAGCAGGCCGGGTCTGAGTGTAAAGGAATCCCATCCCCGCTACAACAACAAGGACGTTATGTACGTGGCGATGGGCAAGCACGCAGGGTCTGAGTGTAAAGGAATCCCACCCCCGCTACAACAATAAGACGTTATATACATGGCGATGGGCAAGCAGGCAGGTCTGAGTGTAAAGGAATCCCATCCCCGCTACAACAACAAGTCGTTATATACGTGGCGATGGGCAAGCAGGCAGGTCTGAGTGTAAAGGAATCCCATCCCCACTACAACAAGACGTTATATACGTGGCGATGGGCAAGCACGCAGGGTCTGAGTGTAAAGGAATCCCACCCCCGCTACAACAACAAGACGTTATATACATGGCGATGGGCAAGCAGGCAGGTCTGAGTGTAAAGGAATCCCATCCCCGCTACAACAAGGACGCTATATACGTGGCGATGGGCAAGCAGGCAGGGTCTGAGTGTAAAGGAATCCCATCACTGCTACAACAAGACGTTATATACGTGGCGATGGGCAAGCAGGCGGGTTTGAGTGTAAAGGAATCCCATCCTCACTACAACAAGACGTTATATACGTGACAATGGGCAAGCAGGTGGGTCTGAGCTTGAAAGGAATCCCATCCCCGCTACAACAACAAGGACGTTATATACGGCGTTGGGCAAGCAGGCCGGGTCTGAGTGTAAAGGAATCCCATCCCCGCTACAACAACAAGGACGCTATATACGTGGCGATGGGCAAGCAGGCGGGTCTGAGTGTAAAGGAATCCCATCCCCACTACAACAAGACGTATATACGTGGCGATGGGCAAGCAGGCGGGTCTGAGTGTAAAGGAATCCCATCCCCGCTACAACAAGGATGCTATATCTGTGGCGATGGGCAAGCAGGCAGGTCTGAGTGTAAAGGAATCCCATCCCCACTGCCACAAGGATGTTCTAGACGTGGAGATGGGCAAGCCGGTCGGTCAGAGGGGAAAGGAATCCCATCCCCACTACAACAAGACGTTATACTGGTAGGAACGAAGTTAACCAGCCTACAATAGATTATATCGTACGTCCGTCCGTCCATCCGTCCGATGTACGATTAGGTGTATCAACATCGCCCCCTATTGCAAACACTTGGCAGGACCCTACAAAAACCTTTAGACTCATTGAGGCTTTCCTGGCTAAACAAGTGTAACATTCCCTTATAATTCCCTGAGATAGCTTTTAATTAAAACATTTAAATTAAAAATTAACTCAAAGCGGCCTAAAGCCTACAGCTAGGCCTAAAGCCTAGAACTAGGCCTCAAACTCTCCCTTCGTATTGTACCCCCGCGTGTGTGAAAGGGAGTTAATGTTTAACAATGTTACATTCCCTGATGTTTTTAAATGGAAACATTAAAATTTATAGCTTTTACATTAATAATTAAAACATTTAAATTAAAAATTAACTCACAGCGGCCTAAAGCCTACAGCTAGGCCTAAAGCCTAGAACTAGGCCTCAAACTTTCCCTTCGTATCGTCCGATTAGGTGTAGCAACATCGCCCCCTACTGCAAACACTTGGCAGGACCCTACAAAAACCTTTAGACTCAGTGAGGCTTTCCTGGCTAAACAAGTGTAATAATACATTGTTTATATTCTTTGGTTATTCGTTCATACCAGCCCACCCCGCAGGGACCTGTTATACATGGCGATGGGCAAGCAGGCAGGGTCTGAGTGTAAAGGAATCCCATCCCCGCTACAACAAGGACGTTATATACGTGGCGATGGGCAAGCAGGCAGGGTCTGAGTGTAAAGGAATTCCCTCCCCGCTACAACAAGACGTTATATACGTGGCAATGGGCAAGCAGACGGGTTTGAGCTGAGAAAGGAATCCCATCTCCGTTACAACAAGGACGTTATATACGTGGCGATGGGCAAGCAGGCAGGGTCTGAGTGTAAAGGAATCCCATCCCCGTTACAACAACAAGACATTATATACGTGG